ATCTTTACTTTTCTTTTTTCTTTGTTTGGCTAGTTTATACGTATAATTTTCATCCTCCTTAGTAACTAATCTATCATAAAGATCACTAAAAACAAACTTTTTAGCGTCACAAATAGTTCTTTTAAACTTCCTGTGAGTCGTTTAATATTTTTTCCAGTTCTCTAAGCTTTTACAATTAAATAAATTTTTATAACATACTTTCTTATATTTTATCTTTTCTTGCACGTTATTATTCTACCATTTTTATTTACAAAAACTTTTTCCATTTATAATTTTTTTTTATTCCCTAAATACATTTTTTGCTACTTGTTTAATAGTGTATATTACTTCATCCCACATAGCATTTGCATCTTCATGAACATCCGACATTATTATTCCACCAACCTCCTTAGTATCTAATCGTTAGCTCCTTCCTCCTCCTTTGGTCACTGATTTTCCTGAAGGGATACCTTCACAAGGCACCAGCAAACGAAACCGTAGCTTTCTCCTCTTCGATTGTGATTCGATCGAAGTAAGCCCTCAGTACCTCCTCTTCCCTCTCCTTCCTTCTCTTCCTTCATGAGCACCGTGCCAAGCCGCTCCACTTCCTTCTACGAGCACGAGATATTTCCCTCTCGATCTCTCGGCTCTCTCACCCGATCACTTGTCTGTTTTGAGAGTCATGTGATAAGATTCTTGTGGGGGGTGCATCTTCATTATCTGTCGGCATGTATGTGAATTATTTATTTTATTTTATTTTATTTTATTTTATTTTATTTTATTTATTTATTATAATGTTTTAAAAAAAATTCAGTTATTCCATCTACTAGCAAAATTGATTACACTCATTGACAAGGGCCTGACTCTGGCCAACAATAAGATTTGCCTCATTCAAATTAGTGTGTGCCAAACTTATTTGAAGACACTATCACTTATGCCAACATGGCTCAGAGACATTGATAACCCTCCTATTGCTCAACTTCGCTACACTTATAATCAACCTCATAAGTTCCCTCAAAAACGTCATCTTTATTCTGAATGCCTGAATTAAAACTTGTACTAAAGTTCCTCCAACTACTTGGAGAAGGTTAACTCCACGTAGATCCTTTCTAACAGCATTTCACCAATTGATCAGGCAATGTAATTACTCCCCAGAGGTTGATGTTAACAAAAAAATAAAATAAGTAAATAATATTAATAATAATTTCCCTCCTTAATTACTTCTGTTTTTATTTGAATCTCCTGAGCCAAGGCAAGTGTAAGACTATTAAGCACTTAACGATTTATGACAAGCTCTAGCAGCAAGCAAAATTTTGGATATTACTCTTTCAGTTCTTCCTGAGTAGAAAGAACATCAGTTTGAATAAAGATAGCTAAGATTTTTCACCTTAATAGGTAGGTAGGTATTGTCTAAGCAGGAGTCATTTTAATGGGCCAAGTGTTCTGAATGATTGAAAGATATATTCATTGCATTACTGTATAATGAAAATGAAATAATAAATATGATGCATATCAAAATATTACTTTACATGTGTAAGCACAATGTCAATTTCATCCGTGATAATAACAAATAATTTTGTAACAGCAAATCTTCTTTACATCAAGATAGGGATAAAGCCGCAACAATATTTATGCATCGCCAGTTTCCTCAGGATTAAATAGAATAACTGACCATGATGTTGTTTAATGAATAAATATATTTGTGCATTGAACGGGGAGTATGGTAGCAGGAGTACATGAGTATGATAGTAAAAAAATTTAAAGTACAGCATACCACTGGCTTTGGATTAAATACGCAATCAGAAGTACTGGCAGATCTTCTAAGCCGCGACTCCTGAGGAAACATTTTATATAAGATAAAAAAGGAAATAGACTACTAAATTTGAAACAATTAAAGTTATGCTTAGCATAGAATGTAAGAAAAATAATTTTTCCGACAATGAAATAATGAAAAAAGGTCATTATAAAATAAACAGGTGCACGCAAAAAATGTTTTTCATTAAATAAGAACTAATTCAAACAATCAGGTATGACCTTTACATCATCAACAGTTTCAGATGAAACAGAAAATCTTCCTTTTATTTGAACCAAATTCGACCTCAACTTATCCTCCCGAGAATCACCGTATCCTACAAAAATCAAAGACAGTGCAAAAAGATTATAATCCAAAATTGATTATAAAATCCAAAAAAAAAAAAAAATCTCAAGACTAAACCAAGCTCAAGTCCAACCAACTATTCATCCAGTATTCCTATGCAAGCGTCCTTTGTATTGTAAGTAAAAGGAAAATCTCTTAGCAGAACAAATACTGACAAATTTATTAAGAAACTAAAATGAAAGTCTTTCACCTCTAAAAGAGAGAGCTGGAGCAGATAAACTATTACCAGAAGCACGATCTGGATGCAGCAATGGACCACTTAAGCTTGAAAATTTCCAAGCATCATGCCTAGAACTCTCACCTGGGAATTGATAGTCATCTTCAGCCCTAATAGAATGGAAATATATTAATCATAAAAATTTATGTTTACTATCAAAAACATAATGATGTCATCATTTGAAAAAAAAAATCTTTAGGAAGAAAAGCTTATGTCAATAGCCTGAGGCTCTATTGATCAACAAATATATTAGCTAACAAAATTATCCTGGAGAAGTATCTAGTGTGAGGGTTGTTTCAATAAGTATCACCATAAAATAATAGTGCAAATTTCTGTTTAGCTGCAGGCAGGACTTTAATTATTTCAAATAGAATAAAAAAGGTCAAAATTATAAGGATTAAAATAAAAACATGTTAGTGTACAAAACTGTACCAGATGGCTCATCCTTCTAGGTTTAGCAGGAAATTAGTAGTTTTAAAATAATAACGACTCGATGATTCAGTACAGCAGAGATAATCAGATCTATAATGCACTGCACAAAATCAATTAATTAGTCCACATGTTCTTATGGAAGCAAACAGCATCAAAAAAAGCATGGAGATTAAGTTAAAACAAAAAATAAAAACTTTAATATTTGAAATGATACATTTCAAACATCAAATAGAATAAAACAAACATTTAGTTTGAAAACGGAACTTCATAAAATCAATAAATGAATCATCCAACAGTCCACCCTCCTTTTGTTATTTTGGAAGTTCGAAAGAAGAAGATGACTGTCACGACGCAGCACGGAGTTAACCAAGACGGTCTGATGATGGGAATTAAATTTCTATATTCAGTTACTATTTAATAAATGAAATAGTCACTAATCAGATTAAATTAAAGCAGTATATTTAAATTTATCTCATTACAAGTTGTACGCGTCTTCTATAAATATATTTCTTTTATTGCTCATCTTTTAATCAATTATTTAAGTCTGAAAAACTAATTTAAAACAACTGTGAGTTAAACAAGCCAGTAAATACTCATATTCCTAAGCTACGACAATACAATAATAAATAAGGAAAATGCATGTCAGTTAAATTTTTATTTAATTAATATTAACATTTGAGATACTATCAATCAATTTTACTATATCAATGACATACCGACATCATTTTATATATGTACAATCATTACAGGAACACCATTTAAAAATTGAATCACTTAAATTACTTCAATATCAATATATTTTTCTATATAAATACATGGGTATCTTAATGTTCCTCCGCTAGTATTATAAAAAAGTGGTTTCATCATAGTCAAGCATATAAATACAAACATACTATAAAAATATTATTTTTTAATGATAAATATTTCATTCTCATTTGCATACCAGTCAATATTCTTGTACAAAATTTAATGATAATTTAAGCAAAGCTAAGCACACAGGTCATTCTTACAATATGAACAAGATTTAATAGAATCATAAATCATGTATATGCGGTACTATAACAACAATAAATGCATTTGGTCAAGAAAAAAATAAAATATTATTATAGCAAAAGAATGAGTACTCACCTTGACGATGGACGATCAGCTTGCTCTTGTATTAATTCTATCAACTTATCAACTATAAAAGATAAATCATTCAATTATCACTTGTGTTTTAATTTAATTATCAATTATTGCACTATTTTAAATTAAGATTTTAATACTTTAACCTTTAAGCCTAATTATTTTAATCAAAATCAATATTTAATATTATGAATTTATACATTTAAAATTAAAACCCTGCATTACTTGATTATCTGAATGAAGTTCACTTAAGTTTAATGTTTAAATAATAAACTTATATATATACATATATATATATATATATATATATATGTACCCACTGCCGTATATTTGGACATTATCTTTCTCAATGTTATAAGTTGCATCCGAATTTAAAACTTTCAAGTAAAAACGCTTCTGGATCTGCCCCACCTCATATATGTCCCTCTTCCTCTTCTGAGTGCATTTCATAGACTATTGAAACACTGGTTGACACGATGTCAACTCCCCCTCCCACTACCGGAGATAATACTGTCTTTGTTCTTCCGACTGATATATTGGCAGATAGTTTACTTAGGTCCAATAATCAGGATAGTATTGAAGCTCTACATCCCCAGGATGCATCAGGTGTAGAAGAGACATGCTTACCACCTCTTCAGAATCAGAATGTTGTTACTACTAATCAGGAGTTGGGGGCTCATTCTCTCTTACATGCTCAACAATCTGTTGACCACACCGATCAGATGAGTCAGTCCTCGGATGAGGAATGGCAGGTATACACATCTAGAAAGAAAAAGAAGAATGGAGGCACACCCCAGCTTGGGAACTTAATGGATGATACTCTAGTAACTTCGGGTAATGGAACAACACTTAACAATTTGTTAGTTGTCTCCGCTCCTAGAACAAGAAGCAGAGGCAAGTCCAAGTTACCTCATGCCTAGCAGCTTATTTCCTGCAAGTTTTTTTTTTTTTTTTTTTTTTTTTTTTTTTTCCTTTTGGGAGGCTGGGGTTTGGTGTTTGCAGCTATGCCCATACTATTTCTGTGAAACCAGAGTTCTCAATCCAAGTTTTGACTGATGAGTGTAAAATTGATAAGAAAGACATTGGCATATATATATATATAAGTACATATAAAATAGTTCAGCCTAAAATAGAAGAAGATAAGCAAAAGTTAATGTCCGTTATAATTAAGCTTATTGCACTTGTACAAAGTTCGTTGAGGATAGTCGATATAATGACATTTTTAAGGTCACCATGATGATAAGTTGATGAAAAGACAAAAATAAACAGAAGACCGGGCACACCACCCAAACCAGACAAATTACTATGTATAAGAATCCTTCTCTGTAGCAAGTAGTTCTTCTTTCATCCTCCTAAACTCCCATTCCTTTTCAAGTCTCTCTTGCTTCTCGTCTTGGTGAAGAGCCATCCAAAAGCCCCAAATACCATTCCGAATAAGCTGGCCACCTTCACCATCTTTGGAATGTGATTTCTCGTTATCCTTTGCCAACTTCATTAGGATTACCTCCTCCTGGCCTCCGATGGGCGACTAGGTTTTGGTTCCACTCGGCGATTATGCTGTTCAGACCTTTAAAATCGTTTAATTATATATATATATATATTGTCGGTTGCGGTCGAGAGCTCTACTAGGGTTTCTGATGGCGATTTCGGTCGCATTTGATTCTATCGCTCGAAGGAGAGCGGCTCACAACTCATTTCGTTGACTCTCGCTCAGTCGGCTAACATCTAAGTAGGCGTCGGCGTCTCGTGTTTTCGTCGCAGATTCGTTTTTCACGCCTGCGTCGCGCGTCCGCGACTTGGTTTCGATACTGCGTGTGCTTCTGCGTCTGCGCCCGACAGTTAAGTTTTCTTTTGTTTCGACGCTGCTTCCTTTTCTTTTGCGTCTGCGCCCGACAACTTCTCTCCCCGCCGACACTCTTCCTCTTCGTTCAGGAACCTCGCTGCAGGTGAACGCCGACAGCTCTCCTTACTCTCATGGCGCTTCCTTCTTCTTTGGTTGAACCGGACAAAGCCTCATTTGCCCACGTGGTAGGTAACTCTCAAATGGAGTCCATAGTGGTCTTCCACTCAAGCTATAAAAATTGTCGCGATGGTACAGGTGAATAACTTTTTGTTAAGAAGGGAAACAGGAATAGTGGGAAAACAACAATCTTCTTCTCTGACTCAAAAATTTTCACCCTAACGGACAAATTCAAGTTTGCTCTTATTGAAAAATTTCAGTGGGGGCACCCATCTATGGAAGTTATCAGAAAGAGTTTTGACGATCTCAAACTTGTGGACAAGTGGAAAGTGAGACTCTTCATGAGAGAAGTGTTGATTCAGTTAACCGTGGCTAAAGACTACGCTCGGATTATCCAAGAAATATCTTAATATCACAAGCAAATCAATGAAGTTACTCGAGTGGTCTCCTTATTTTGACCCAAAACATAAAACTTTCACTGTACCGGTATAGTTTAGTCTATCTGGTCTCAAACTGCATTTTTTTCATCATCAGGTTCTCTACTCTATTGGGGCTATCCTTAGGAACCTTATGAAGCTAGATCTACTCACTTTCAATCTAACCAGGTCTTCTATAGCCAGAATACTTGTGGAAAGGGATATTACTTTACCTTATATTACTGAAGTCTGGTTGGGCGGTTGGGCACAACTCATAATTCATAATGAATATTGACAACAAATCGTCATGGAACACAGACTTCCATATTGTACCCACTGTAGGATATTTAGGCATATCCTTGATAAATGCCACAAGCTCTGCCCTAATTTGAAATCCAATGTTCAAGTGAATAAAGAAAGATCTAACCCCACTGCTCTGGACATTTTAGTTCCACCTGAGGTGGATGCTACCAGACAAAAGGTGATTGTTGCCCCCTATGGACCCCCCCCCCCATGATACTGTTGATACTGTTACTAAGATTGATGTGATGTTGGCACCTTCAAACCCCATAGAAAACAATACTAAAGGACTATTACCGACAAAGGATAGTGTTCAGACTGATAATCACGAGAACCTTGCGGCTCCCCTTCTTCATGAAGTATCCGGTGTAGAGGCAACTCATGCTTCACATCTACCAGAGCCTATTTTGGGTACTACAGTTGGTAATCCTTCTGCTACAGCTATAACACCTCATCAGACTGATTCTTCGGATGAGGAATGGCAGGTTCACACTTCCAGGAGGAAGAAGAAAAATGGAGATCTACTTGAGCTCAGGAGACTTATGGATGAACTTATGGATGATAGAGACTTATGGATGATACTTTGGTTACTTTCAGGTAATGGTACGCGTCTTGCCAACTTGTTAGTTGAATCCCTTCCGAGAACTAGAGCCGGAGGCAGGATCAGATTAGGATGACCCTCACTTTTTTCAGCGCCCTAGTGGTTTTAGGTTTTTTTTATTTTTATATGTACATTTTTTGACTTTTTTGTGTTGTATCGTGTGGGTTTGGTGCTTATTTTTAGGCTCATCCATACAACCTATTTGTATCTTTTATAAAAATAAAAAAACCAAAACCACTAGGGGCTGAAAAAAGCGAGGGTCATCCCAATCTGGTC